TCTCCCTCGTCGCCGGATGTGGCTCTGGCTCGTCTCTCTGAGGAGTTGAAAGATATCAAAGAGTCGCTCGAGAAAGCCTCGGCTGTGCGAGACTACGCGCTTGACGAATTCGTACGCATGACGCAAGCCCGCGACGAGATCCAGGCCAAGCTGGCGGATACCGAGCTTCAGCGTGACAGGGCGGCCACCGAGTGGGCAGATGCCAAGCGAACGCAAACGGAACTAGAATCCAAGATCCGTCGCATGAGTACGTGGATCCTCTTTTTTTCTCCTGGTAATCCCACATTCACTCGTTATATCTCCAGGTGACAAATTGAAGGATGCCGAGACAACTTCAACGCAACTATGGGATCAGCAAAATCTGCGAGATTGCTGGATCCAACTTACCAACTGCGCCCAGACACCGACTAACGGAGGGGGTCCCCCGATGATCCGTGTTCTGCTGAACTTTCCTCACCTTGTGTACCCGTCGGTAGGGCGGGATCTTGCTCTCTCGGTAACTTCCGAAGGGGTCAAGTGGTGAAGCTTGAGTGTCTTGGCGAGACGTGGGGATGGGGTGGAGCAGCAGTGGAAAATCTTCACTCTGCGTCCGTGGGTGGCTCCGAATCCTAAGCGAATATTCGAGCTTATGGATCCGGGGCCTAGATCGTGGATCTGGCCGTAGGGTTGCCTTGCGGGTGTGTTCCCTTGCCTTTGTAGTTCCTTTGCGTCGTACTTGCCGCCTCCTGTGACGGGATCTTGAGAGTTGAGATCTTCTAGGGTGTAACCGACCAAGTAGTAATTCGGTTAACCTGTTGGATCTGCACGTGTATAGGAAAAGCTCACTAGGTTGTAGGATCTGGCCAATGTATTATCCAGTTATGGCTACCAACACTAGGTTCGCTCCTGAAGATTGTAGTGTTTCTGAACGTTGCGAAAATGGTGACAGTAAACGTAACGAGGAAAGAATTGATGTCGCTGAAAGTGAAAGTGGATCAGTGGCTGGAACCTGTGAATCGTTCGTTGCCGAACAGGAGTTTGATGACGATGAAGAACAGATTCCTAGTGATGAGGAAACTACTGTCGCGAGTGTTTTAGCACCAGATGAGACCAGTGAATGCGGCGAGGTGACTCAGCTACAAAGTGACTTGGCACTGGAGCAGGACACCGAAATATCTGTCGGATATAGCACAAATCTTGCAGAAGACGAAAGTGGAGGATATTGTCGTGACGTGGTTGATGCAAGTACAGTCATCCCTATAGTACAAGAGAAACAAACAGGGAAACGAACACATCGTGAAGAGACACCTTCAGAAGTAGTACGAGCTGAGCACGATGCTGCTAAGAACGATGCGAAGAAGACTCGCACTGGCCTTAGAGAGTATCACGAGCGGCGACGACCTCGTTACTATGATGACTTTGTGATGAACGTGACGCTCAACGCACCACGCATTTTGGACAAGAACGGTCGGCCTGTTAGGGAAAATGACGTGCAAATACCTCGAAATCGTCGTGAAATGCTGCGGTCAAAGTGGAGAGAGTTTTACCTCCAGGCTGAGATGGAAGAAATGGCTGCTTTGACAGCAAGGGGTGTCATAAATGAGATTTCCGATGAAGAGAAGCTAAAAGACGCATTGCTTGTGCGCACGATGTGGGTATACGCACTGAAGTCTGATCACCAAGGATATGTGATTAGGTTCAAGGCGCGTATTGTAGCTCTGGGGAATCGCCAACGACCTGGCATCGACTTTCGAGAGACGTTTGCGCCGGTTGCGAGGATGTCTTCGTTCCGGTTGCTATTGGCGATCGCAGCTGAGTTGAATCTGAGTGTATACGGTGGAGATATAAACACCGCGTACTTGAATGCCTGGCTGGGGATCCGACAGTATCTGCATTCCATCGACGGATACCCATGTAAGGTGAATGGACATGTGTATGTCGTGCTGAAAGCGCTGTATGGTTTACGCCAGTCAGGACGTGAGTGGAATTCAGAGCTCAATCAATGGTTCATCGACCACGGCTACCAGCAATCATCAACTGAGCCTTATTTGTACTACCGGTTTGAAGGAAAAACGATAGCTTATGTGCTAGTGTACGTAGATGATATACTGGTGGCAACAAACGACGAACGGTTCAAGAAGAAATTGTTCAACGAATTGAACAAAGCCTGTGAAATCAGGGATCAAGGGTTGCTAAATCAGTATCTGGGCGTGGAAGTAAAACAATCATCGGAGAAGATAGTGCTTCATCAAGGCAAGTATGCGCGTGAGATCCTGAGCAAATTTGGATACCAGAATGCACGTGCTGTGGGAAATCCCATAGAAACCAACGTGCGCATGGCTTCTATGAAAGATGTTGAGGATTCGGACACTAGTTTTCCATACCGTGAGGCAATTGGAATGCTACTGTATTTGGCCACAAGTGCGAGACCAGATTTGACGTATGTCGTGGGTCAGCTAAGTCGATTTGTGGGGAAGCCATCACCGAAACACGTAGGCCCACAGCAGCGAGTGCTGCGCTACGTTGCAGGTACATTGGATCATGGAATTGAGTATTTGAGAAAGCAAGTCAAAACAAATGAAGTAGTTTATGAAGGGTTTTGTGATAGTGGTTGGGCCAGTGATCCAGAGCAACGCAAGAGCACTACAGGTTTCATTTTCTTGTTGGCTGGTGGAGCAATTGCATGGATGTCAAAACGCCAATCAATCATTGCACTGTCGACAGCTGAAGCAGAGTATGTGGCTGCGTACGAAGCTAGTATGGAGGCAGTGGCGGAGAGCAACATTTTGCAAGAAATTTTGCCACATCACCATGCTATTTTACGCATTGGGATCGACAATCAAGCGGCTCATGTAATGGCTACGAATTCTACATACAGCCGTCGAACGCGTCACATTAAGCTGCGCTGGCATTGCGTGCGTGAACAAGTGCAGAAAGGTGTCATTGACTTGCACAAGGTGAAGGGAGAGGTGAATCCGGCGGACAAGTTTACGAAACCTCTTGATAAGAAGAAACTGAGAGAGATGCTACGACTGGCAGAAGTTGGAGATGCAAAGTAGTTGAAGAGTGCTCTTCGAGGTGGGCGTTTTGTAATTCATTCCAGAGGTCTGGTTAAACGGAGTTGGGAAAGGAACTGAGAAGCTGCTACTGAGAAAACAGCTGAGACTCTAGTAGATCAGATCGTTGTATGAGAACGGGGTTGAACCCGTAAGTGTTGTTAGGAGCTCTGGTGGAGCACAACTAACGCTCAAATAATTCAGTCTTCTTTTTCATTGCAAGTGTGAACGTGCTCGGAACCGAGTTCCAAAAAGAACTACAGCCCTGAAGGCATGGACTTCTTGCTGAGCTCCATAGGTATTGATATTCATACTGGCCTAAACGAGTGGGAGTCTGTCAAGCAACGCTACAGCAACAACGCTCGAGAGAGCAACTGCGCTGAGCGCGAGCTTGTGTCGCTAAGAGAATTCAAGAACTGCTAAATTTTAATAAGCCAACGGGTGATCCGAGATACCGAACAGTGTCCCCGCTGCACATAGCATCCAGCGCCGTATCGAGGACTAGGTATACATGGCCAGCGACACCGACGACGAGCGGTCTCCCAATAATGCAGAGAACAACAATTCGAGCGATGAGTAAGAGGATGGCAACTCGACAGGAGATCACACCCCACCACCGCAAAATGCAGATGAGCGTGAACGAGGTACCTCGCACCAGTTTGCGAGTGCAGCTAAGATTAGGAAAACCCTTTGCTTTGGACTGACCAACCCTCCCGCTGCTTGATCAAGTAGCAGTAGCGAGTTCTATGCTGAAATCAGTGCCTCCGGAGGAACAACACGTCATTTACCTTCATCACCACAGACTGTGCTCCCTGGTGCTCCGCTGTTTGTACTATCATCTCGTTCAGCAAATATCGAGTCCAATTCCAGCCTGCGTACGTCGATTTACTCGGCAAACTCAGTACAGCACGAGCTGCAAGGACCCACACCAAGCACAAACCAACCGGCTACACCACGACCAAACCAGACACACTTGCGTACTGAAACTTCTGAGCGAATCCATCGCTCACGTTCAAGCCTTCAAGCCAGCGGGAGTACAATCGAAACAAATAGACTGCAGTCAACTGAGCGTCGAAGCTCCGGTAGACGTTCTTTTCAATCTAATTAAAGCAGTACAACGCAAAGTACTAGTCAATGTCAATGCCAAACCACCTCGACCAACCAAACGTCAACTGCCTATAATCTAGCAACGAGAGCAAAGCCCATCACAAATTCGTCGTCAGGAAAGGGTCGTAGATGATCTAAGAATCTTGCAACGACTACGTTCACGAGCTCGAAGAGTAAACACACTTTTGCGCCGTGAGTGCTTCGGACAGGGGCAAAATTTTAATGGACCTACCTTAAGTCAACTACATGGGCTTGCACGTTAGCGCACGTGTATGAGAAAGCGTAAGTTGCGTTTCACTTAGATCAACTATACTTTCGTCCAAAAGAATAAATTTACTTATAGGAAAGCAAAGCCAATTTCTGGGTTTATGAGAACTGTTTATTTGTTTGTTTGTTTTTCTCCTAATCTAATACAAGTAATGTAAATGAAAGGTATTTATCAACGAATGGTTGACAAGATTATTCTTATTGGTTGAAGATATTGACTTTTAACCAATGGATGCCTTGAATGCATGCAGACCAGCAGTCTGCCAAATGTAGCCCGCGCAAGAGTCCGCTCCAGCAGACCCTGTTACGTCTGTGCCTGCGCCTGCAGACACCACCACTTCAGTGTCTGCGAAAGCGAACACGCCCGCGACAGAAAGTATTATTTCTGTCACGCAATACCACGCTACGCTCAAGCAAAAGCATGCACAAGCTACGACTGACAAAGCGTCAGTCGTCATGGAGGGCTCGTCAATTATGTCTACTGGGGGAGACTTACCCATTGACGATGGGTCTGACATCAAAGGCGTCCCCATGGAAGACGAGGACACATCGTCTTCAGTTGTCGACTCTAAGTCGTTCGAACTAACGCTCGATTCCCCTGTTGGGTCGCGGCGTGGCCGTGATGATGTTCCGGACGCTGCTGAATCAAAGCGTCCGCAAAAATGAAGAAGGGGCTAAGTCACCTGTGCCGGTGCCTTCTTCTTCTTCGCGTACTGCACCTGAAGTACGCGCTCCCTGGATGCCAACTGCATCTGAAATCGCTGACAGGTTCGGCGCGACATCGGATGCCAACTGCATCTGAAATCGCTGACAGGTTCGGCGCGACGTCGCCGCCGAACCCGATAGAATTGTACGTGTGCAGCACCATCAATGATGACGCTGAGACCGTCGGCATGCACTTTGCTCTGTTAGCGGACCCAAGGCGCGACTACTACATCGTACTCTTCCATGAGCTTCGATGAAATGAGCCGAAGAAACTTCGCGCAAAAGCAAGTGCCCGAGTGGGTGGCACTTTGTCAGTCTTGGAACGCATTTGCTGTGAGCTTCAACAAAAATGTGAAAGGCTACCGCGAGCGTATTGTCGCGGCTCGCCAGCGCTTCAAGACCTTCTCGAAACGTCATCTCGTAAATTGCCTCCATATTGACGCTACGGAAGCGGAAATCCCCTGCGCAGCTCCACTTGAAACTGCGTGTTCGCACTGCCGCCTCGGGGTAGTGCGCTATTATGAACGTCATGTTCTCGGGTACACTCCCGTACATGTACCCGCTCCCTTGCGAAACATCCGTGCTTAACTCTGTTAGCGGACCCAAGGCGCGACTACTACATCGTACGCTTCCATGAGCTCCGATGAAATGAGTCGAAGCAACTTCGCGCAAAAACAAGTGCCCGAGTGGGTGGCACTTTGTCAGTCTTGGAACGCATTTGCTGTGAGCTTCAACAAAAATGTGAAAGGCTACCGCGAGCGTATTGTCGCGGCTCGCCAGCGCTTCAAGACCTTCTCGAAACGTCATCTCGTAAATTGCCTCCATATTGACGCTACGGAAGCGGAAATCCCCTGCGCAGCTCCACTTGAAACTGCGTGTTCGCACTGCCGCCTCGGGGTAGTGCGCTATTATGAACGTCATGTTCTCGGGTACACTCCCGTACATGTACCCGCTCCCTTGCGAAACATCCGTGCTCAACTTAAGTGCCGTGATGTATGTTGTACTGCTGATCAGGGTGAAGCGTTCCTTCTTCAAACTGGCGCTTAAGCTCACCCATGTGCTTTGCTATAGATATGTCGATCTGAGCCTGTTGTTTTTTACGCAGACCTGATTCTTGCCCTTGTGTCTCCTGTAGCCGATGTTGTATCGCTCCAAGACGTCTTGAACGCGACGAGAAGTCAGAAGACTCGAAAATGGCTTGTTCTTGACAGTGAAGCGAGGGCTGAAGCATGGGTGCTCGCTATCCTCAATGAGGACGACGCCAATTTCAGCGACAAGCTGGTTCGAGAGCTTGACACCAGCTCGCCGCAGTCTCTAAAACGCTGTCAGTAAAAGTGGGTACAGCCACATCCAGTGCTCTGCTAATTTGTTGCCCCTCCCATTTAGAGCTTTTACGACGAATACATGTCGGATACGTTGTCTTCCACTCGCATACTTGAGCTGCTTAGGGTCCTCTAGGCTTTTAGCTGGGTCAACACGCTTCTTCCTCCAGTCGCGAGCCTTGTTCACGTTTACCCTTCTATCGGAGGAGCGAAACAGCGAAGGAAAGAAGTCGATAGTTCTACCATAGAGACCTTTAGAACCTCGGAGAGCTGGATCCAGCTCCATCCAGTCGGTGCACCACACACGATCGCAGAGAGAAACGACCTGCTGAAGCTTGCGCGGCACCTCTTCTACCATGCCTGTTTTAGAGTGAGAAAACACTTGGAGGTTGCGAGTGAAAAATACAGTAACAGAATACATGGCTGCTGTTGCCAGCATGCCTAATCTTGGTGTATGTTCAATTGTGGTGTATGACTAATTTAGGTGTATGCGCAGTTTACTTTCGTATAAGTACGATGCATGACGATTTAAGTCCCACGACTAATTAGGGTGAACGATGTATAGACACTAGCTGTGGTGTCGGCGGGTCAGCTCCGGGGGTTGACACGGTCGTGGTTGGTTCGAAAATCCCGAAGGGCTCCGCCAAAAGGCGTCGAGGTGACAAGGACGTGTTGACTCCGGGAGTCGACACAAATTCGATATCAACATCGACAGGGAACCCTGCCGACAGCCGTCGAGGTGATGACAGCGCGTCAGCTCCGGGAGCTGACGACGCAGCAAGCTGTGTTGGCGGTTGCAAACGTCCAACACTAAAAACACTTGCGCGCTCGCGTGCAGTCGGGCTGCACGACGAAGCGTAATACAATCAAGCCGGGCTTGATCATTCGCGTCCGCGGAAAGAATCCACCGACGGCTACAACGGAAATCCGACCAAGGCCGGGACTGGACGAGAAACGTGTAAAGCCAGGATTCACAATAACAAAAGACGGCGCAAGCAACGAAAGATGTGCAAGTCTCGGTCCGGAACCGAGGCGATACAAGCGATGTCTGCCTGTCGGAGGTGCCGTCGGACGTCGAGACATTGAACGTCTTGACGCGGACCCGTACCGGAGTTCAGTATCGGTCAATGTAACTGAAGAAACCTCCGATGAGTGCGTCGGAGGTGACGTCGCTTCCAGTCGTGGACTGGATGCGCTTCGCAAAAGACCTATATAATGGACGCATCGAACAGATATGCATCCTTTCGGATATCGAAAGGATGAAAAGCGAAACAAAAAAGTTGAAACAGCTCCACGCTACGAAAACCGCTGAGAGTAAGTACACTCTCAGCGCGAAGACGAAGAAGCAGCGCTTCGACGAGCAGAGCTGGGACTTATTGAAGCCGACTCCCGTCTACGATGTTCTGCTGGAGCACAAGGATGTGCTCCCGGAAGAGATTCCTGCGGAGCTTTCGCATGATAAGGGCATACAGCACGAGATCGACCTCGTGCCGGGCACGAAGTACTGTGTGACGTGACAGTGGCTACTGCCGCGAGATCAAGTAGAGGCAATAGACGACTTCTTTGAAAGTCGTCGTAAAGCGGTCCAAGTGCGGGAAGCAAAGTCCCCGCACAGCGCACCAACGTTCTGTGCCAAGAAGCCACAGAGCGGATGGCGCATCGTTCATGCTTACAGCAAGCTGAACAATGAGACGATATCAGCGCAGATGCCGATACACAAAAAGATGTTATCAGCTATTCGATGGCCAAGGACATCATCTATAGTGCTCTTGATCTGCGCGATGGGCTCTATCAGATCCGGATGTGTGAGAGGGACATTCCTCTCACGGCGGTGAGCACTCCAAGCGGTATGTTTTGGGAGTGGCTCGTATTGCTGTAGGGACTGAAGGAACGCCCCTTCAATCTTCAATAGATGTGTTACACATCAGCTACGCTCAGTGCGTGACTTCGCACCGAGCTACTTCGACGACGTGTTCGCTCACAGCCGGGCTGTGGGCGGAAAGACTGACGTTGAGGTGCACAAAGAGCACCTCCGTCAACTGCTAGGGATTTTGCGTAAATATAATCGTGATGCGAGCCTGAAGCAATGTATCCTCAGGGCTAGCGGGATACCTGTCCTTGGGTGTCTCGTCGGGAAGAACGGCGTACGCCCTGACCCAGAAAAGGTCAGATTGACGAATGAATGGCCCACGCCATCCAATGTGAAGGAACCGAGGCAGTTCCTTGGACTTGCAACGTACTTGTGCAAGTACGTGGGCAAGACTCTCCCGCTGTCACAGCTACTGAAAACGATGGATGAGTGATTTGGACTGATGAGTGTCAGCAGGCCTTCGATACAGTCAAGCGGGGATTGACTGAGGCGCCGAACTTGGCAGTGGCTGACCAAGTTCGCTCATTCCAGATCGTGTGTGACGCGTCCAACTTTGCAATCGGATGCGCGTTGATGAAGCACACGAGGACTGGGATCGTGTCCTGGAAGGTTAAATGTGGTGACCGACGCGTAGCCGCGTCGACCTGACGTTAATCGAATTGGCGTCGAACGAGTAAGTGTTCCGTCGTGGACATTGATCGACGACGTGAAGAACGCGTATGCGAGTGACGCAGACGCGAAACTACTGCTAGACTATGTTTTAGCACCTTCCGAAGTGTCACGTTGGAAGTTGTCGCCACATTTGCGAGCTCGTGCACACCGATATTGTGGGCACTAAGGTCAGCTGCTTTACAGCGCAGTGAACGACGATGCGGATCACATCGTCGTGTCGAATGATTATGTTCTGCGTATACGGGTCATGTACGAGTATCACGATGCTCCCACGGCTGGACATCCGGGCCGTGAGAAGACATACACTCTCCTCACGAGAGACTTCTACTGGAGCCACTAGTACAAGTGGATGCGCAAGTACGTACGTGCTTGCGAGGTGTGCCAGCGCGTGAAGCCTGCTGCGTATTCGCAGGCTCCAGTGCAGTCTCTACCGACACCGTCGGAGTGCTGGCAGTCCATTTCTATGGACTTTGGTTTCGGTCTTCCGCCAGACAACAAGCGGAGGACTGGCATTGTGGTCTTTGCTGACCGATTCAGCAAGATGGTTCATCTTGCTGCAGTACTGGCTGAAGTCACGGCCGTGCAGACTGCTTAATCGTTTGTTGACATGGTGTTCCGACGCCACGGAATGCCGCTTGACATTGTGTCGGACCGTGTTCTACGCTGTACAGCGCCGTTCTGGCAAGAAGTGTTTACACTTCTTGGAACACAGCTGTCGATGTCGACTGCGGATCATCCGCATACGGACGGACAGACCGAGCGCGTGAATCGCGTGCTCGGTGACGTAAGAAGAGCTACGCAACCTCGTTCCCGCAGTGAAGCAATTGCTTGCCGATGGCAGAGTTTGCCGTCAACAACTCGGCGCATGTCTCGACAGGGTATACGCCGTTTTACGTGAATGCAATGCGGTATCCACGCCTTCCGAGCTTGAGTAGAGCCGTGAGCCCCTCCTTAAGTGGAGGGATCTACGGCTGCGCCGATACAACCGCAGAGGAACAATGATACCGACGTGGTATCAGCGGTGACGACGCGAAGAAAAGCGTCTCGGTCCCGGAACGAGGCGAAGACCAAAAACACCGTGTCTGTGCGGGGCACAGGCACCGCGAACAAGTAGACGTCTGTACTGAGTACAGACAGCGCGCAGACCAACCCTGCTGCGGAAACAAACACGTCTGTGCGAGACACAGACAGCGCGCAGGCCGGGTCTGCTGCGGAGAAGGAAGCCGTGCTGAACAAATTATTCAGCACGCAATCACTGGACTTTGTCCACCGTCGACAAGACGTAAAGCCGTAATTCGGTTTGTGCAGGACGCAATAGCAGCTTCTGTAGAGAAACAGAAGCTGAGTGCAGACAGCGTCGATAGAAGCAACACAACTGAACTCAAAAAGGGTTCATTAGCTCTGTTAGCTACGCCGAACCTACCACGACATGCGGTCCGACTTCGGTGCAAGCGAGCTTGCTCCGCGCTTCATTGGCCTGTTCACAGTACTTAAACGGCATGGCATCGCGTATACGTTGGACATACCGTCCAGCATGCGACTCCATCCGACATTTTACGTCGGGCGGCTAAAGCCTTACGAGTAACACGATCCATCTAGTCTCGATGGCTCGAGGACGACGCGGTCGCGCAGGCGCCTCAGCTCCGATCCATTGCGACTTGGATGATCGAAGCGGTCTGAGCAGCATCAGCGACCTGCGCCTTCTGTAGGCGCAGCTCCTGTTGCAGGGCAGCGAACTCCCGCTCTGGGATTGTTCCAGAGCGACGACACGATCGTACAGAGCGCGGGAGCCATGGTCAACCTGGGGTTGACCATACGGAGGGTATATTTCCGCCCCCGCCATCGCCGCTGCGTGACGCGCACGGCTCGACACGTTGGATTGTCAAGCGCGTCGTGAGCTATGAAGCCCCGAAGACGAACCAAGATCAGGCTCGTCTTCTAATTCGTTAGAGAGGGTTTCCTCCCCATCTAGATTCATGTGAGCCACGGGACGACATGATGAACGACGTTCCGGAAATGGTGAGGGCGTACGAGGCCCATAACCGGGTGCAGGTATTATGCCTGCCCTAAAGCTGCAAGAGCCACCAGCACCGAGTGGACGAGAGCCACTTCATTATTGACCTTGACGATGGCAAGACGCTGGCCTTCGCTGGATCCCAGTCCGTCAAATACCGCTGTGTCGCGTAATATGTGGATCTACGCATTGATGATTTGAATTAACTGTGTTGCTTATGTCATAGGCCGTGAGGGCATCACAATGTGTGTTCTTTTGAAAGGAGTAGCGATGCACGCATCCTGTGTCCGATCTGATATCCAAGAACAAGAAATCTAGCTACCCTATTCAACATCTTGCCAGTTCGACGCCTGGTGTGTGCTACCGGACTTCGCCGAGTGCGTTCATCAATGGACGTCTAATGTGTCAATGGCTGCGCGACCCAAGGTGCTGTGGACCGGGTGGACCGCTCGCGTCTGGACGGATTCCTTGGACGGACAACGCTAGTGGACATTGCGGTACAGACGTCGAGGATTCAGCTCACGAACGGCGGACGAATGTGAGGCTTTTCCCTGCTAACGCCACCGACAAAGTCCAGCCTGCAGACCGCTTCTCGATTCAGCGTATCAAGGACCACTGGCGCCGCCTTGCCGAGCGACGGAATACGGAAGCTATTCGGAATGGTGATTGGAAGACCGGCAATTCTTCATCGGGAAAGCTTGCAAACCCTGGGAAGAAGTTCTTTCTTGAACTGGCAGCTGAGTGCATCCGGCTCGTCAACTTAGAGAAAGACAAAAACGGAGAAAATTGGGCAAATAAGTCCATGGTTCAGTGCGGACTAATTCTTCCTCGTGACGGTGTCTGGAAAGTCGAGCAGCTCAGTAGAGAGCTTCAAGAGGCTATTGCGATGTATCCTGACGCTTTTAGCGACGGATACAAGGAAGCTGCCAGGTCTGTAGATATTACGTGGTACATTGTTTGTATTCATAATGCATAAATATGTGTTTCTTTTTTTTTGAAAGGACTTACATGACGGTTCCAGACCCCTAAGGGATCCTTCTGTATATCGCTGCGCGCGGACCAGAACCCGCGATATTGCCCGTGGAACGACGTGGCTAAACCTCTCCACCAATGCCGTCGTTTATTACGAAAGTGCAAAATGTCGCTCGTGACCTTTCTTGGAATTAACCGGTAATAGTCGTGCGCATAACTTAGTCGTGCACAAAAATTGATCATGAACAATTTTGAGCATTTGAGGAATACGCGGTAGCTAGTCGTGCCACGACTAATTAGGGTGAACGATGTAGCTGGCGTCCCTTGCATTTCTGATACGCCAGTCCCCGGAGCCGA